AATTTTAGCCTCCCTTCCTTTAGCGCTTGTTGAACAAGATCCATGAAAAGGAAACATTGTGAGGTTTTATGGCCCAAAAAATTATGGTATTTACAAAAACCTCTTTTCTTTCTCTGTTCTAAAGGAGGCAATTTTGCCCCTGGGGGCACTATCATCTGGACATCTTTAACTAATAGATCAAATATTTCGTCACATTTGGATATATCGAAACTATAAGTTTTCTTAGGAAATTTGTCGCTGTTTTTCTCAGACTCTACAGGATTTTTCCCATTTGATGGCACTAGTAATTTACAAGAATATAATGGTCCTTGTTTTAATTCTGCTAAATCTATTTTTCCTTCTTCGACATCTATAGGATCACTAGATATCTCCGGATCGTTATCATCCATTTCGACATAGGCTACCCTTTCTCGTCGATGAGTTTTGGCAGCTTTAGCTTTCTCAGCTTTAAGGCGTTCTACTTGTCGAACTCTATCGGCCAGTTGGGCCATATCTCTTAGGTATTGTGTATCTAACTTTTTCCTAATCGAATAATCCAGGCCTTCCGCTGCTATTTCAACCAATTCATGCTCAGGCACTTGGGTAAAGCATCTGGCTTTGAGTAATCGAAACCTATTTAAATATTCATCGATTGGCTCTGTAAACCTTCTCTTCACACTAGCCAATTCTTTTAGACTTATTTTGGTCTGGCCCATGTAGAATTGTTCGTGGAACAATCTTTCCAATTGGTTCCAGTTGTGGATCGAATTGGCTGGGAGGGTGGTGAACCAAGTGAAAGCATTCTTTGTTAGGGAACTTGGGAAATATTTGATTCTAAGGTTTTCGTTGTTTGCTATTTCCCCGGCCTCTATCAAATATCTAGCTACATGTTCGATAGTGGACTTTGTCGTATCCCCTGCAAATTTAGTAAACTTTGGAACCTTTCCCCTAGGTGGTAAGTCTGTTTGCAGAATATAATCTGACAATGGGGGTGTGAAGTTTGGTCTGTGAAAACCAACATTCATCCCGTTTTGAATCATAATCCTTTCGATCATGGCAGTTAGATTATTGTTTGTCCCATAATTTTGGTGTCGAACTTGTTGTATCAATTCATCAGTGTTTTGGTTTCTATTAGCCATAATAACTTCTTGATCGATTTCTCTAGGGTTTCGTGATATTTCAACCCTTGGTTGTTCTATTTCTGCTCTAGGAATCTGAGGGTTTGGATTAACGGTCAAATCCTCTTCCATGATTGCTTCTTGATTTGCTCTTATTGGTATCCTCTGGGGTTGTCGAACAGTTTGGGGTACCCCAAAGAATTCAGCCATGCGCGTCATTTGTGCTATCATTTGTTGATTCGATTGCGTAGCATTTTGAATGAGGGGGTTTAGCATTATACTTAGAGTTTGTGCTAACATTTGCACCATATCGTGATTACTTTCGTCCATCTGTTGCCTCAAAATTGTTGTCGAAACATTTATGAGGCTTGGTATTGTATGAGATGGCCCTCCCAAGAATTGGTTTCTACTGGCTCCATACCCCTGTAATGGCGATGATGCATTCACCAAAGGTTCTGAAAAAGTGGAAGCAACGTTCATAAGGCTAGCCATTTCAGTAGTTGGCATGCCATATGGCTGCTCTCGACCCATCCAGGTTGTCGAAAATCCTGGGGGCACAAATGGTCGAGATCCTAGATTTTCCCTTGGTGGAGGCGTTCCTAATGGGCCTCTTGGACCTACATACGAAAGTAAGGATCCAGTTTGATTTGTGGTTAGCGTCGGTATTGATCCAACGGAAGTTGGGATATTCCCTTCGATGGCGGTAGTAACCACTGTTCCAGTAATTGGTGGAGGTATTTCTCCATGATTTGGCTCGTTAGCCATACTACTCTCACTATTTTTCTTCCTAACAGTATACTCGTTGGTTACTCTACCACTTCTTAATAACATGCAATGTTATAACTGTACAGAAGAAACGCAATGACATAAACAATATATTTAATAAAAATTAGCAACGTCCCACCGGGTGTGCCAATTTGTTTACCGTGGTTTTTGGTAAACAATTGCTGATCCTCCAAAAAAGGAAAGTTCTTTTGGTTACTCACGGGATCGATCAGATTGATCCCAGAACATATGCTAATTTTTTATGTAAGACAAGTAATCAGGAAGAACGCACGTTCGACCAGAGAAAAGATACTTGAGATTTTGGAAAAGTAGACAGAAATGTAGAAATGCAGGTAAAGATGCAAGAAAGATAACTTTGCAAAATAAGATTAAAGCAATGTAAAAGACTTTCATTAATAAAAAGAGGTGTTTCTAACGTACATTTCTCAGTTTTATCCTTTCTCACACAGCGGTTACTTGGACAATATTTGAGTAACTAGCACAATAGGTTGAACACCACTAAAAACTACACAGATTTTCTAATTTATACTAAGAACTAGGTAACCATCGAGGAACGACTCTGCGCTAAGATGAAGACAAGTGTCTTCTGTATGTCCCTCGACCTCTAGCTTCCAGCCACGTTGCTTCTTCTTAGCCGCTAGCGAAACTGTCTTTCCCTCCAATAATTCAAATTCAAATGTCCCTCGTATTATGTGTCAAAGCGAGGGTATTTTCTCTTAGTCGAAGGTCATAAGTCCTCTTCAGTCGAAACCTTGAAAGTGAGCCCTAGTCGAAGGCCCAAATACAACTTAGATCTTTTTCTAAGTTATTTCATATGTCAAAACATTCTTGGCTTGATTTATTCCAGTTTTTTGGTCTAAAAGACCAAATATAGTAAGTGTCGAATTCGGGAGCCAACACATGCATACATGTGTTAATCAATCATTACATTTCATGCATAATTTCATGTGTAGTATCCATAAGTGCGGAGCACTATGCCAAGTAACCATAGTATTTCATGCATCAATCAAATGCACAACATATAGCACATTAAATCGTAGCGCATATCATGAACCATTTTCATATGCATATGAAGACAATCAATATTGTCGTCAGTCATATACCGTATGCTCTTCTTTAGTAAATCTTGACAGAAGATTTCCTAGTAATACATACTCCCTGGTAAATCTCAGTAGTAGATTCCTCAATAGACCTCGGTAGTAGGTACATCTCAACGAATCTCAGAAGTAGATTCCCTGGTAGATCTTAGCAGAAGATTTCCCAGTAAAGCCTCGACGGTAGGTATTCTCTCAACAGACCTTGGGGGTAGGTAGTATTTCGACAGAATCTCGATAGTAGATTCTCTGGTAAATCTTGACACTAGATTTTCCAATAAACCTTGCAGTAGGTCTTTTTTTAACAGAATATTGACAATATATTCCCTATTTGATATCGGGAGAAGATTTCCCAGTAACCTCGGTAGTAGGTATTTTCTCATTTGAATCTCAGAAGTAGGTTCCATGGCTAATATCAGTAGTAGATTTTCCCAGTAGATCTTGGCAGAAGGTATATTTCCTTTTTAATGAATCTCAGCAGTAGATTCCCTGGTTGATCTCGGTAGTAGATTTTCCAGCAAAAACCTCGACATTAGGTATTTCCTCAATCATTTTCCATCAATACTTTGCTGCAAAACCTCGGCAGTAGGTACTTCTCAACAGAATTTCCCAAGTAGATTCTCTGGTAAATTTAGATAGAAGATTTCCAAGTCAGTAAACTTTGACAGTGGGCATTTTCATAGTTGAACCTCGGCAGTTGGACTCCTTTAGTAAATCTCAACAAGAAGATTTCCTGGTAACACTAGATTCCTTGATAAATATCGGCAGTAGATTCCTTGGTAAACCTTGATATTATAAGTTATCTAGTAAAACCATGGCAGCATGTATTTCTCAATAAACCTCGACAACAGGTATTCTTCAGAAAATCTTAGCAATGAATTCCTTAATTAATCCCCAGAAAGTATTTTCTCCAATGCGTCATGTCTGGATTTCCCCGTTAGATCTTCTTCATAATTCATCTCAATCAATCCCCATAGAGTCTAGCTTGCATATTTCATTCCCCAATAAGGCAATATGCCAAGACACATTTCATCTCATTCCATTGCATTTCCATTCGAAGGAAAAAATTTGGATCAATTATATTTAATTATCTTTCCTCACGATTATATGATGATTGTCGTCATTCATACTCTCGGGTCAAAGGTAATTAAATAAGAGCAGTTATCGTATCTCTATTTTATACAAGCATATTCATTTCATATGATCATTAATGATGTATGTATTACACTGGTTTCAATTTATTTTATCATACTTTTTCCTTTTTGTTGTGTTGCCTTACATGTTCGTACGTTAACCTAACTCACGACCTCGCGTTACAATTTGTACACTTGCGTCACAATTCGTGTGCATTAATTCATTTCGTACATTGCATTACTTTTCGTTATTTTTTTGGATTTTAGTCGGGTCTAATTTTATTTCGCGAATTGTCTATTCATCATTCGTTCATGCCATTTATCATTTGCATTTTAATTAAATCCAAATTTCAATAAAAAAAATTATAAAAATTAAAAAGATAAATAAATAAATAAAATATCAACTTTTTTTCATGATTACATCACCATTTGCATACATCATATGAATACATCAATAAAAAATCATAAAAATAAAAACTTGCACTAAGGACAAAAATGAAAATATCTCTAAAAACTTTGGATTCCATTTTTCTTCTACACAAATACATCACACGATTTGCTCTCTCCCTCACACATTCCATTAAATTTTCTTTTAACAAATTTCTCACACACTTACACCACCTCACATGTTTTTCACTCACATTATTACATTAAATTTTCCCTATATATCTTGATTTTAATGATTGATAACAAGTAGCCTCAAATTCACCAGCTAAGCAAAACTCTACACGATTTCCTTCCATCATTCTCATCTTCAACCCATAACCACCTTCATCTTCATCCTTTAACTCACCTTCCTAAACCATTCCAACTTCAAACATACATACAAACCTTCTTTCACTCTTCATCTCAACCTTCCTCTTCACTTCCACCATCACAAACCAAATTCACTAAACAACAACATCTACAACTTCATCACCAGACCGCATAAAACCGAACTGGACCCCTTCAGGGAACCCAGAGCCACACACGTGCGTCCGATCAGCAATCGCGATTGCAACAGCATCAGCATCATGCCGACGACCGCTCCTCAAAATCGTCTTCGCACCCTCCTTTCGTCCAAGGTTTCTCCGTCGGCTCCATTTGGTAATCTCGTTCCCCTTTTTCGTGAATTGGTTTTGAATGTTGTTGTATTGTTTCTTTTTACTTCTGTGACTAAGAGATAGGATGTGTTTGTTTTGAAACAAATGAATTAGAGAGCTTGATTTTTTTTTATTTCCTTCTGTAATTATTAATTTTCATTTTCTTATTTTTATAATAGCCATTTCATATGTCGATAATCGATTGGATTCCATTTATTTGGGAAAAGTCAAATTTGTCTCCTTTTTTCTTTGTTTGGAAAAAATCAGAAAAAATGGGAAAGGGTGGGGCACCTCTCACACATGCATTATGTTTACTTTTTTTTTTATAATTATTTTTTAGTTTCAATTTCTTTATAACATTAGGGCTTTAGTATTCGACTAACTGGGCCTTGAGTCCATAGGGTTAACTTTGACTTTCTTTGCTTACCCCACTTTCTACTTTTGCACCCCCACTCTTATTTCTCTTTTTTGTTTTGTTCTTTCATTTTACCTTTTATTTTATCTCAGAATTTTGGACCTTAAGCCCATTGTTCATTGCTTTGCTTACTACATCTTTTATTGATAGTGCACCCGTCTTTTTTATTTTTATGTGTTTTATACTTTTATTGTTTTTATTAGTTAATTGCTTAATTGATAATTGTTAAAACATGAATGGCCAAATAAAATCAATCTTTTTAAAAGTAAACTCAAACTCTTGATCAACATCAAGTTCTTTTTTTCAAGCCATTTCATAATCCAATCGTTATCGATTCACAAACGTGAACCAAACACTTGATCAACCTCAAGTCATTTTTTTTCAAAATTAAATCATTTTCTATACAAATGCAAATTAAATACTTAGTCAACACCAAATTCTTTTCCCGCTTAAATAAAAGCATCAAAATATTTTCTCAAATAAATCGGACGAAAAAGGATTGATTGGGCATAGGCCTCTTCCTTCTCTGAGTACTTGCATACTAGTTGTGGAGCTTATTGTTTGAGTACTCGTCTTCCAAACTAAATCACAATAGTTAAACGAGTTTAGTTTGTTCTTTCGCGGATGAAAAGGGATTGATTTTTATTGTTCCTTCCTTGAGTATTTGGATACTAGCTTTAAAGCTTACTAATTGAATACTTATCTTTTGTTAAGAAATCGTGAGTCTACTCACCTCACATATTTTACAATGAAATGGAGTGAGAAAATGATCAATTGAGCATTGGTCTCTTTCTTTCTCGAATATTTGGATATTGGTTGTAGAGCTTACTGTTCGAATATTTGTCATCCACGGAAAAACAATCCAATCAATCAAACTATCTTTTTCCACCCTCGCGTGACGCGAACTTTTTCATAAACAAACATGTTTTATCAATTCTATCATGATACAAACAAACGCATAATCCTCCCATGCGCGGGGATACAAGCAATGTATAACCGCTAGAATTCTATTGAAACATCGTTCATTAAAATCAACCAACGTACAGTTCTTTTATACTATGTAGCTTAAAGTCCCCCATCGCACATAGGGATATGTAGAAGCGAGATTCAACGTCTCGTCAAGCACCCTAATAAAAAACCTATTTTTAGTCCCTTATTTCTCCTTGTAAATATCACGCATAATACTTAGAAGAAAACAAATAATATTATGCTAACACTCTATTCAAAAAACTAACTAAACGGTTCTTATTGAGTACAACAAATGTGTGGGGTGCTAATACCTTCCCCTTGCATAATAGACTCTCGAACCCGATATGGTTGCTATGACCATTTCTTTTTGTTCTTTAAGGGTTTTATCGATATTTTCCCTTTCCTTTTGTAATAAATAAACTTTGGCGGAGAGTTTATTATATTTCTAATGTTTGTTTCGCTCGAATATTTTTTGTGCTGCAACAAAGATCTGCCATCAAAATCTCCACAAAGGTTCATGGGCTCAGTATGGTGTAAAAGCTTTGTTGGTTCGAGATTAGCTAGTGTAAATTCTCATCTTGGTTCTAGATCAACCTATGTAAAACATCATCTTGGTTGGCGATTAGCTTGTGTAAAATCTCAAATTGGTTCAGAGGTCAGTCCGTGTAAAAACCCGTTTCAGTTCAGAGGATAGAAGTATAAAACTTCATCTCGATTTAGAGAATATCAAGTTAAAACTCTATTTGTTGTTTAATTGGAAGTTATTATTGACAGTCGCGGTTAGAGGCTCTCAAGCAAAACACTTGAGTAAGTATCTTTTATCGTCTCCACAAAGATTAATGCTACTAAATTGTCATTTGATAAGTCTTGCGCTTATGAGTTTGGATTCGAATGGGTTTAAAGTAAATGCGAGAATTAAAACTTATGAACAGAAGAAAAAAATTCATTCTTCGAAGAATAGAGAACTCTCGGGTTTGCATTTTATCAAAACCCTATCAAATACTTAAATTTACTACCCAGTTATACTCAACCTAAATCACTCGTCAACATTATCACGTATCTCTCACACATAGGTTATCTCTAACACAGAGTGAGACAACAATCGTATTACTTGCATCGACGATCTCTCAGCGTAACAAAAATAACACGGAAGCATTAAGCTTCGATACCTAAGTGAATATTAAACCTAAATCTATCTCTAGAGTCTAGAATCTAATAGATGTTCATCCTAAATCCAGATTCGAACCGTCCATGTCTGCAACAACTCAAACCCAAATAAAGAAAGCAATCATAAATATTGTTTTGTAAAGGAGGTTTCTTACAACACCATGAGCAATAAATATACATACAATCAAGGTAAACTTACATACAAACTCCAACAAATAGAGAATAGAAAGAGAAGAAGAGAAGAGGAACCAAACATCTTTCGGTTTATCAGCTTCAATCGATGAGAAATTCGAACCTGGATCATCCAGATGCAAGCTCTATTGTTGTTGTCTAAGCTCTAAACTATCAAAGAATGAAGGTTGATGGAGATGGGAATAAATATGCCAAAACTATAGCCTAACAAATGAAATGACATTTGTTTTATAAAACTAAACTCAGCATATTGTGCTAAGCGGCCTCAGTGTGCTAAGCGGGCTGCACTGATATTTACACGTTAAACCGCCTAAATCCCGCTAAGAGAGCTAATCGTGCTTAGTGGGCTCAGAAAAACAGCTCTGCCAGAATAGTGAAAAACAGCCGTAGCGTGCTAGAGAATGCACTAAGCAGACTTGATAGAACAAATATTCCAAAACTGCATCTTTGGAGTCGTGCCTTCGACACCTTATTCTTCGATGCTCCAAATATGTGACAATACCTACAAAAAGATATTAAAACTATCAAATAGTACTCAAATGACTCAAAAACATAATAATACGCACAATATACATATTTACACACAAAGTGGAGATTTATTCAAAGCATATTTACAAAAGAATCGATAAGTGCAACAAAACATATATACAAAAATAACTACAATTTGCACTTATCAAACTCTCCTCAACTTAAAACATTGTTTGTCCTCAAACAAATTCATACCATCTAAAGAACAAAAGACGATAATCAAAGGATCACGAATCAATAGGTTTCGAAAAACAAAACAAATGTATGGTTCAAACAAAAACATGCATGCAAGGAAAAACTTACCACAATCCTACAACGACAGCATGAAAACGTAACGAATCTTAAGTATAAAAATCATGCTAAACAATCTAAAACAATGCATGCTCAATCACGAATTACACCTAGAAAAAATCATCGAGGGGGTGAAAAACACATAAAGATAGGGATATGACACTCATCCAACAATCTTGCAAACAAAAGACTAAATTATGCATTCATCCAAAAATTCATATTGAACATACAAAATAAAGAATCACAAGGGATTTTCAAGGTTGTAATGTGGCTTGGTTAACAAACAAGGGGGCAATTCCTAAAGCTAATCAAAACAAAAATTTGCCTAAACCTAAGGGAGTGATTAACTCTCAAAGTTTCAAACACAAAATCTCAATCAAACTTCTTTCACCTTCCCAAATTGTCACACCAATCACATAACTTATTAGCACAATTATTCTACTCTTTTTGTTTTTCTTTCCTTTTCTTTCTTTTTATTTTCTTTCTTTTATTTTTCATAACCGCATAGCAACCAAACACAAGCAAGCAACCATTTATTCTCCCCAACTTGAATTCAACCAACATCAAAGTGTGAATACTCCCTACTTTCAAAGCAAGGTAAAAATTCAAACAACAACACAAGGTTGAGGGTTCAAGAAATAAAGAATCAACATCTATTCAAAAAGGTAAACTAAACACTCATAGACAAGAATTAAGTTCAAAAATAACATGTGCATTAACAAAATGGCTAACAAATGCTCACACACTCATAGGGTGAATTGACTATTTGGCCAAGTGGTTTTTCTCAAAATGAAACAAAAATGTCTTGATCCTTTTCATGCTTCATACAATCAATACAAATAAAAGATTAAATATAATAAAACCTAGTTAAAACAAGAATATTGGCCTCCAACATATATAAACAATGGAAAGCTTCCTCACATTTGGGGGTAAAAAGGAACTAAAGTGATTCAATCAAAAAGCAAGTAACGAAAAAGAATGAATGGCGTGGAATTCGTACAAATTATAAGTTTCCTAAATATGCTATGCTACAGAAAGCGATAAACGAGTACTTGGCGTATACCAATTTCAAAAACTATCATTACCATACATCTGCAAGTTGAAACAATCAAACTTGGAAAATCACCTCAAAATTCCTCAAACAACAAACAAAAATGTTAAAAAGTAATATTATGTACACTCTATATAGTCTTGGGGGAAGAAGGAAAAAGAAAGGTGAGTGAAACAAAAAGAATTCAATGGTGCAACACAGTTAAGCGGGCTAGACCGCACTTAGCGGTAGCAAAAAGACAGAACAACATATGCATTTTCATGCCACCTTCACTATCACCTACATATCTTAACTACATAACATACAAAATTTATAACCAACAAATTTCCTCAAGCTAAACACGACAAACTTTTGGAAAACAAAAATTATCACATTAACACAAACTACTATAAACATACTAAAAGACCGGGTGAAAATGGATAAATAAGTTGAAAAGTGAAGAATGGAGCAGTAGGACGCGCTAAGAGGGCTCAACTCATAATTTAAAAACTGGTCTAATTTTAACTTGTTTAGTTGCTGAAGCGGTAAAGCGGCAAGTAAAAGTAAGTATTTTTATAGTTTTATCATATCATCTCCACAAAGATTAGTGATTATCAAATCTCCATTTGACAAGTCTCTCGTTTATGAGTTTGGGGTTGAATTGGGTTGGTTTGTATAAAAGGTAAATGCGGGAATTAAAGTTATTAACAGAAAAATAATTCATAATTCAGAGAGTATAGAACTCTGAAGTTTATATTTCATCTACCCTATCAAATACTTAAACTCACTACTCAGTTGTACTCAACA